AGCCCCTGTGGCTGCCATCTTTGAGGAGTAATTATTATCCCATCAGACACTTCTACCAAAATAGGTACTTCTCCAGGTGGTGGTCATGGCACAAGAGAGCCATTGGCATGGATCAATGAGTCAGCAAAGGCAGAGAAGAAATCACACCTAGAAAGAGCCTCATGGGCAGTGAGTGTGCCCTGCTTCTTCCACTCTGTCTATGACCTCTTCATGCACTTACTTTGCTCCTCAAATCCATATGTTGGCATGGCTCGAAGACAATAGCACTGGAACCCTCTAGTTTGCTGTTCCCCTTGTTCAGCCTAGAGGCTGGATCTGTTGCTTCAGCTGCTTCTTATAAGTGTTGGAGCTAAGACAGGAACCCTTCCCTGAGAGCCATCTCAGCTTGGGAAAGTGGATGAGTGGGAGTTGGGGCTTAGAGGATGAATGGGGAGTATGAATGGGCAACGGAGGATTTGGGGAGATGGAAAAGGGGGATTTGCTGGGGATGGTGGCCTCTAACTTTCATACAAAATCCTCTCTTTAGGAATGAGTGCACCAGCAGGGCATCCAGCATCGTGGAGAGAAAATCCAGAGATCTCAGCAGAGACAGTATTAGGAGAGGCTTCCAAGGATGGGAATAATGTTGGACTAAAGAGTAGAGAACAAAAGGAAGCTGGACAGGAAAAGAAGAGAAAAGAGAGAAAGGACACATGTGCACATAGTGCAGAGGACCTGGGTTTGAACCTGTCTATGAAACTCCTCGAAGCTGGCAAGAGGTACATGGCTAATGTGCCATGCAAGAGTGCCGGGCCCAGGGCAGCCCACCCACCAGGCTCAGGTCAGTGCTGATGTTCTTTAGTCACTTGTTTCTAATCTGTAGCCTTTTCTCTGCTAGCTGCTCTGCTTGAGAGGGAAACCAGGGCCAAAGGTTGCAACCACTGTGTGTTGAATTTGTAGCTTGTGAGGAATGCCTTCCTCCCATGACCTCATTCCCTCACCTCCCTCTTTCCTGAACCTGGTAGGGATACATGAAGGCATCTCAGAACTTGGCCTGTGGGGTTCAGGAGAGCAGTTCCTGCAGTCAGATGCCACCCTCACCTTGAAAATGAAGGAGAGGAACATTATTGGTGGGTTCTACCTTGCTCACCTTGGCTTGGGGCCTTGACTGAAATCCCCACTCTCCGGTTCCAGAGCTGAGGAGATCATGTAACTCCATGAAAGGGATTTGAGGAGCCTTGGGGGGAGTTATCACCAAACCCAGGGTGGCTCCTAAGGCCAAGCGTCCCCAGTGTGTAGTTTGTGCTTACACAGAACTAAGTGAAACGGCCTTGCATTTCTACAGGAGTGTCCGTGCTCCACAGCTGGGATTATTTTTTTGACCTGTAACTAAGCTTAGTCTTTCCTTAGCTGACAAAGACTCATCTTTCCATGGAGAAGAGTGAACCCAACTCTTAATCATAAATTTGATATTTTTACTGCCACAAACATCTCTGATGACGTTCTACAGCTTTAACTCCCCCGGGAGCCTGAGGCGAATTACGATTTTGTTCCAAAGCTGTTTCCAGGCAGCCGCTGTGGTTCTCCTGGGGCTCATCTTCCTCTCACTGTGCTCTGACGGCCTCACGGCTCCTCGCCCCTCTCCTATAAATAGCTTAGTTTCTCTCCTGCTCTGGAGAGCCAAGGGTGAATGAGTCCTGAGAAGACTCAGGTTTTCATCCCTTACTACACACACACACACACACACACACACACACACATTGTTTTACATACGATTTGTAGGGATTTTGAAGGGGATTTGTGGATTCACTGAAGCTTATCCAGGTACCCAGTTTAAACTGCCTTAGTTTAAACAAAAACATCTTTATTATTTATTTCTAATACAGAATACGTTGGGTAGCTGAGTATGTTCTCCTCGCTCCTCCTTTCAGTGCTGCTACAGTCTTTGTCATCGTAAGTCTGCTAACAGCTGCTCCTCGCTCTTTTGAGGGAGTGGGCTTGAGAGGTGACATGGGGCCGTGTGGCCCCAAAGGCCCCAGGAAGTCAGATGCAGGCTGCCACGCTGACTGAGAGTCTCATTCCAGTTTCAAATCCTACCATGGTTCAAATCCCACCAAGGGCCTCCTGACATGGTCCTCAAACACAGGAGTTTGACCAAAGCTCTGGTGGCAGTTGTGGGGGTCCTGGCCCGATGACCCTTCAGGAGAGAACCGGGGGTGGGAGTGCAGCCAGCTGATGGCTGCCAGCTAATGCACCTTCAGCTGGCAAACCCAGACTACTCCTTCCCCAGGGAGCACCCGGCTGTGACCCAGCAGGTGGGGGTACCAGGCCTGGCCATTTCTGCCACCGCGGGCCTTCTCCATGATACCGTCTGTCAGCCCTTCGGCAGGCTGAGACTTCCTCAGAGCTGCTCCACCTGAGGCTCTTCCTGCCCACTCCTCCTCTCCCCGTTTCTCCACAGGCGTCTGATCTGCACAGTGGTCTCAGGCTTCCCCCGCCTACTCCAGCTTCCTTCCTCTTTTATCTTTCCTAAGTAGCCCTCCTGATAAATTTCTTGTGCTTCTAACTCCACCTTGATGTCTGCTTCTGGGAGGACCTGAACTGACACAGCTCTTCTCACAGGTGACATCACTGTCACTTTACACAGTCCCGCTTTCCTTTCCCAGATCCCCATTTGGAAACAGCCCCCACATTTTGTCAACTCATTTTGCCACAGAGTTAGGAGATTGCTGGGTGTTGGGTTCCATCTTCTGACTATGCAAGTTATTAGGGTTCAGAGTCCTACCCCATTCAGCCTCCTGTAGGGTGCTGAGGGTCCCTGAAGACAAGACAGAGGCATGAGATAGTCAAACACATACTTTATTTCTGTACGGAAATTCTTTCCAGGGTTCCAGGCTGGAAACCAGAAAGCTCAGGAATGACCCTGCTCCATGTACAGGGTTCTTCCCGAAAGCCAAGTCAGCAAGGTAAGCTCCCGAGTCCCTTTTCCTAGAAGTCCCCTCAGTCCTTCTAAGAGGAAGGACATTCCAGCATGTCTCAGCATTATGGTATGGGAGGGGGGACAAGGACTCCCCCCTTTAGTTCCTTCCATAAAGGTCCCCCCATCCCTCGATTACTATGGTTTGACTGTGAGTCCACGATGTACACCAGCTCCTCTGTGAAAGAATGAGGAAGGGAGGTTGGCACAATACAGAGAACACATCGAGAACAACTGGATCCCATAGTTTGGAAGTAACAACAAAGATTGGCCCCATGATGTCTTATATTCTATTACTACTGACCAGCACACCACGGAAAAACATGTAGGAGATAAACACAGGGTGACACATTTCTATAAGAATGAGCCCCATGCACAGTGCAAACATGGCGTTTCCCACATGTGGGAGCTGATGACATTTTTTATAAGTTAAATACATGTTGGAAAGTGGGTTGGAGGAAGGCCTGCTGGGTTAGTTCAGAGGGGATGTTTTGCCATATTTGAAACTGGTCAGGACCATCCCATCGTCCTTCTAATTATGTGCAGTGATGATGCTGTCCAACCATATCTCACTAGGTCCCCTGGACTGACTCTCAGAGAACTAACTCTCACTGCAGAAGGCACTCTGAAGGTCTCAGCCTTGGCTCGGTTACATGTACTGAGTGCAGGTCTTTAGCATCCTGGGGAGAATCAGCATCTCAACTACCTTCACGTCTGCTGGGTGGCCTCAACCCATGGGGACAGGTGACTTAGCCAGGCTCTCAAGAGTGGAAAGAGCTGTGTGCCCCCAGCTCAGGGCCAAGTCCAGAGCAAGTACTCAATAATCCTTACTGAATTCAACTCCAACTTCTTCCACAGAGAGTATGTCCCCAAGTCCTTGACACTTTCTTCTTAGGTTCTTCTCTTAATCATGCTGGTTCTTTAAAGCCCTCTGAAAAGATTCATTCTTCTTTGCTTTTTTAAATGATCAATGACCTCTTGTTTTGTGGTTGATGTTTTATTTCAGTATCATCCATATGTGGCACAATTGTTTATTGGAAGTCTGAGTAATGCTTTCAGCACTGACTTTTGTTGCCCCTAAATTATGTCTTCTATTCTTATATCTGCATTGAGCTGGCTTTACTTAATTTATTTGATCCTTCCCATGAGGCTTTGCAGAGTATGATTCTCAGGTCCTTCTGGCTTATGCTGTTGCTAACCAATTCCCACCAGGCGTGCCGCGGCCGAGTAGGGTTAGAGCCAGCAGGGCTGGTGAGGCTGTAAACCCTGTGGGCAGCGCTGCTCTCCTGCCACACCACGGATGCAGCACATGGGCCTCCCTTCTTCAGGTGAAGAGGATATTCACGGATGTTACATGAGGCTTCTGCTCTCAGCCTCATTGGGACAGAGCACAGATCTTTGAGACAGGAGGGAACTGCATGCTCACCTGATGGAAATCCCAAAGCTGTACTGGGACATGACGCATTAAGTTCATGACTCTTGGTAGATGAGCTGTCCTGTAGGGTTGGTGTGTTGTCTCACTTTTTATAGACAGGGGGCCAGCAAAGCCATAGGGGCAAGAAGGGGGAGATTCAGAGAGTCTAAAGGGAAGATGCAAGGTGTCTTCTGCCCAGAGGTGCTGCTGCAGTGTGCAGCCCCTTTGGTCATTGGGCACCTGAGCACATGCTGGATGCTAGTGCCTCTGTCCTAAGACACCCATAAGGCCAGAGCAGGGAGCCCACAAATTTGTTTTCCTGATGTTATCTCCAGCTGCAGGCTCAGTCTGTTAAAACCTGGTGGAAAGATGCAGGCTTTGACACCAAGTCCTCAGCTCTGTTAAAGGCTAAAACCTTCCAGGAGAAAAAAGTACTCACATTTTAGGATAAATCAGAGAATGTTTGATATGGGTGTGGTCACATGGCCTCAGCAGTTGATTCTTCTGCAGGAGCTCGGTATTAAGTCACCAGACTCTCTTCTATTTTTTCTGAGACTACCATTTTTTTGGGGGGGTTGGGGGAGGGTCAAACAAACAAAAAACTCATACAATTATCAAACCATTGAATATTAAAATTTCAGTTCCATAGTTTTACAAATAAGGAAAGAGAGGCTCAGACAGATGAAGTATGGCACAGCTCTCCTGACTCTTGGTCCATGGCTGACGTCAGCTGGTATCCATGGACACATTCTGACTGCATCAGTTGCTCGGGACAGTCACCAGGGACATAATGCAGATGAATCTGAGGCTCTCAATTCCATGATGTTTAAATGTCCTAAAATATTGAGATGCCAAAAAGGGGCAGACTTTGTCTCCTTTTCAGAAGTGCATGGAAAACAAGGTTAAATTTCTCATTCAGACTTTCTGTGGTCCCTTCTTTTGTTCACCCTGTCATGTGAAGACGTCCACCAGCTAAAGGAGGGTAATCTGAGCATGACTGAGAACGACTTTATTGAAGTAAGACAGAGGCTCCAGGCAAACAGATCAGTTCGGTCTGTTGCTGCATTGCAGGATTCATCTTGAAATGAGTGCTCACATGCAACCAAAGTTTATTCTAGAATGATGGGATGGATTGTGGAGAACATTTAGTCAAATCTCCCATTTTACAGGCTCAGAGAAGTTTGATGGTTTGCCTTGGGTCACACAGCATGGGGGTGGCAATGACAGGGAAGAATCCAGGTTTCTTGACTCTAGAATGGAATGCTTTTCCTAAACCATTCTGACCCTTTTCACAAGCCCCAGTGTTAGGGCATTTCAGATGGTTTCCAGATCAAGGAATTACCCATGCATGAAGGGAAGCAAGACAAAGATGATGGTAGTTGCCCCTGCTGAAGGCCCCGGGGTCTAGGAGAGCATGTTGGAGTAGAAGCTGAAGCTCTCAGTCATGGTCTTGGAGTTGCTGCGAGAGGAGTCATTGGAGGTGAGGTCCAGGGGTGAAGGTGTGGCCTTGGGACCCTCCTCCAGTTCTTCCTCATGGTTCCCCACCACTGTGGAGACAGTGGTCTCCAGGCGGCTGACTTTATACACACTGCCCTGGGTCTGGAGGTACCGGGTGGATTTCATCTCAAGCCCCTCGTAGTCTCCTGCACTGATGAAGGGGCAGCACCGGAAGGCGTGCTTGAAGCCCAGACGGAACCTGGGGGAAGAGCAGGTGGAGAGGTAACCCTGGGGGACAGCCTGCTTTCAGAGGGACTTCCCACCTTTGCGTCAGCTATTTAACACATAAATACACCCAAGCATGATTCTGTGTTATTATTTTTAAAATTAATTGAGAACTGGAGACAGTAAGGCCAAAAATATGTAAAGATTGGTCCTTAAAGTCAAATCCAGCACTAGAACCTGGGTTCAGGTGAAATGTGTCTTTCCTGAGGGCAGCCACTGAACTATGTTGTCTCCACTGTGGAGTCAGCCAACTTTGGGTCAACTCAACATTCACCAAGGGTTTACTATGTGATGATACTGTGCTAGTCACCATGTGGTAGAAACACATGATAAGAGTCAGTCCTCCCTTTCCAGTAGTTCACTGTCTGAAAGATGACTTTCTGCCAGTCATGTTCCTTCAGTATGCCTTGCTCGATCTGACTCTCACACCGGCTCTGTACTTCTGTTTCCATGCACAGCCCCCTGTGCATTGAATCCATAGGGCAGAGTGAGCAAACTCCTAGGTCACAAACTAGATCTATCTCATGGACCTGCTTTATATACATCAACCACAGATGCTTTTTTCCTCTTATGTGCACCCCACCCCCATTGACTTAGTTNCTGCTTTATATACATCAACCACAGATGCTTTTTTCCTCTTATGTGCACCCATTGACTTAGTGGCCAGTGTTTAAAAGTCAGAAGATGCCACACAAAAATATGGACTTCTGGTTCCTCTTAGAAAAGAAAGATATGTCCACTCTGGGCTTGTATTCCTGCAGTGGTGATAATCAGCAGGGGTTGAGTAATGTGGTGATTAGTTTGCTGCAGTCCCCACCGCTTCCTGTTGTCTCACAGCCAGATTTGCTTATTTAGGTTGGCTGCTTGGTGGTTATATAGACAGATGATCTTGTGGCCCCTGGAAAGAGTCTGGGGGTGGGGTTCTCACCTGTCATTGAGGCAGCAGTAGATGATAGGGTTGTACATGGTGGAGCTCATGGCCAACCACATGATGGCCAGGTAGAACTGCTGAATAAATTTCTCCATGTAGAGATCTGGTTTGATGTAGGGGAGGAGAAAGAAGATGTGGAAGGGCAGCCAGCAGATGGCGAAAGTACACACCACAATGATCATCATCTTGACCACCTGGCAAGAGGGCGAGACAGGTGAGACCACTAGCACATTCTCTTATTCCCATGGCTACTTTCTCTCTTCTCCTACCATCCCCTCTGTGCACACAGTTATTTATAATAACCCCTTTTGGGAGGGAAGAAGGACATTTTAAATGTGGTACCAAAGGACTTGGGTTACCTCAGTGTTCTCAGAGTGTGGCCCCATAGCCAGTGTCATCGCCATCACTCGAGACCTTGTCAGAAATGCAAATTCTTGGACCCCTCACCCAGACTTACCAAATAAGGAACTCTGAGGGTGGGACCCAGAATTCTGTGTTTGACAAACCCTTCCTTCCAATGATTCTGATGCACACTTGTGTTCGAGAATCACTGTGTTATATCATCCTCTGGGCAATGACTGGAGAAGCCAAGGGAGACCAGAAGGATGGAAGGAGAAGGGACAGGACTTGAACAGCTGCTGCAAGGGAGCATCAGATGTTTAAAGGGGATTTATAAGGTTTTATGAACACTGAGTGATGCACCCCTTCCCTCTTTCCCCAATAAATCAGTGGAGAATAACCTAGCCTCCACACAATGAAACGCTATGCAAAATGTACCAAAAGGAAGAAAATAATGAGAAAGCTCTTTATATATTGATTTTTGAAGGTGTTTTGGATATTAAGTGAAAAAAAGGGAAGGGCAGAAAGTGTGTATTTACTATTTGCATAAAAAAGAAGAAAGAAGATAGTTTATATTTATTTGGCTTATAAATGCATTATAATATTTGGAAGGATTAATAAGACAAATAACAGTGGCTACCATAGTGAACGTGCATGTGCACTTGGGAGCTGGGGGGATGCAGGGCCTAAAACGGTGGGATCCTTTTCATGGTAAGATTCTTAATATATTTTTCTTTTCTTTTCTTTCTTTCTTCCTTCCATCTTTCTTTCTTTCATCCTCACTCAAGGATATTTTTCCATTGAGTTTTAGAGAGTGGAAAGGAGGGAGGACGGGGGTNCCTTCCATCTTTCTTTCTTTCATCCTCACTCAAGGATATTTTTCCATTGAGTTTTAGAGAGTGGAAAGGAGGGAGGACAGGGGTAGAGAGAGAGAGAGAGAGAGAGAGAAGTGTCAATGTGAGAGAGACACATCGATTGGTTGCCTCCTGCATGTGTCCCAACCAGGCCAGGGATTGAACCTGCAACCCAGGTACATGCCCTTGACCGGAAATCGAGCCCATGACCTCTAGGTGCTGGGACTGACACTCTAACCACTGCGCCACACCAGCTAGGGTGATATTTTTAAAAACTCTTCATTTTGAAATAATTTAAGGCTCCCAAGAAGTAGCGAAAATAACACAGAGGGTTCCCAGGTTCCTCGGGTGACTTCATCTCACATAACTATACCCCGTGATCAAAACCAGGACCCCGGCATTAGTGCCATGCTAGAAACTAAACTACAGACTGTGTTTGGATTTTGCCTGTTTTTACACTTGCTCATTTTTTGAGTGTATAGTCCTATAAAATTTTGCCACATGTATAGATGAGTGAAAACACTACCACAATCAGGATACAGAGCTGCTCTGTCACCACAAAGAAGCTCATGCTGTCCCTTTATAGGGAGCTCCTCCCCCAATACGAGCCCTCCTAGCCCCGGATCTGTTCTCTATCATAATGTTGCTCTTTTTAATACTTTTGGAAGTTTGCACCAAGTGAATGTGTTATTCTGCCAAACTTTAAATAAATAATAAAAATAGGACTGAATAAGTCTAATGCTTTCATAGTTAAATTGTGTGTGTGTGTTAGTGGCTTGACAGGCTGCAATTACTATTTATTTATTTATTTATTTATTTATTAAATATATCTTTATTGATGTCATAGAGAGGAGAGGAGAGGGAGAGAGAGACAGAAACATCAATGATGAGAGAGTCATTGACTGAGCCCACAACCCGGGCATGTGCCCTGACCGGGAATCGAACCCCGCTCCTAGGATCCTAGGTCGACGCTCAACAGCGNAGGGAGAGAGAGACAGAAACATCAATGATGAGAGAGTCATTGACTGAGCCTACAACCCGGGCATGTGCCCTGACCAGGAATCGAACCCCGCTCCTAGGATCCTAGGTCGACGCTCAACCGCTNGACCGGGAATCGAACCCCGCTCCTAGGATCCTAGGTCGACGCTCAACAGCGGAGCTACACCCGGCAGGGCTGCAATTACTCTTAAGGTGTGGGAAGGTCATGCCTGTACAGGCAGACCTAGGTTGCTAATACATTGAAAAAGGATCCCCTCCCTCCCCCTTCCCTCTGTTCCCTCTGTTGTTCCCGAGACTCAGGGATGTTTTGTGCCTGCGGAGTGGAGCCTCCTGAGGCTCTGGAGCCCATCTGCTTGCCAGCCTGTGGCCTGTGCTGGGGTGGGGTGGGCGCTCCCTGTCCCTTGCTCACCTTGCGCTTGGCAGAGACTTGCTCGTGGTAGCGGTCGGAGGAGTCCCCGGGGATCTCGCTGGCCCACAGGGTGATTCCCACTATGGTGTAAGCATAGCCGATCACCAGCAGGGGGAGGAAGTAGATCAGCAGAGTCACGCAAATGTGATACCTGCAACAAGGTAGCCGGAGGGGTCGGTTAAGAAATAACAGGGTGATCAAGGCTTGACAGCCACCTTCCTCAGCATTTGCCATTAATTAGTTTGGCTGATAAGACACACCCCCGGAGGCTTGCCACCTGTGTTGGATGAGTGGGTGATATATTGATGGATAAACTAGAGAAAGCAAATCTCTTCAACTTAGGTTTTTCTAGTGGACTTTTTCCATAATGAAGAATCCTGTTCAGATTGAAAAAAGAAGAATAAACATTGATTGAAGAGAAATGAATCCATTGTATACCTATGGCAATTTTAGTTAATGTTAAGTTGAATATTGCTGACATTCTCTAGCACAAAAAAAAAAAAAGAATGCATCATTAATATAAGCATACGCTCTAGAAAGAAGGAGGTGACTGTACCACTCAGTTTACACCTTTCAGATGACACTTAGGCTCAGCTAGTACCCTCAGATGAGAACCACCACGATGGTTATGAGCCCTGATCCATTCTGTATGACCAAGGGAGTCACAGATATAAGAATAATTAGCTTGGAGGAAACAGATAGGACTTATCCTAGTCTAGAATCAGTAGAAAGAGCCACAAAGTGTTAGCCACGTCTAAGTCTGGTTCTTAAAAACCTATCTCCAGATGAAAGCTGCCTGGGTCTCTGAGTCACCACTTGGAATTTACATCGCATCTGACTTGAGTTTGACTGGGACACGAGCAAGAACTAACCCTTTGCTTAGTTAAACCACTGTGTTAAACCACTCACTGTTAAACCACTGAGATTTTTGGGGATTTGCTACAGCAGCGTAATTTATCCTATTCTGTTTCAGACAAGACTCCCTCTAAGTAGGACATTCAAATAAGTTTTTTGAATTTTGAGAAAGGATGTTTTTCTCAGGGGGTCACTGGCATGTCTGGCTAGTTATAGCCCTTTCCCCTGATGTGAGTTTAATGGGTAAACTCAGCATTCCTAATAGTAATAATAATAATAGCAGCTAATACTTTGGGGTGTTTATGTCACTGTGCTAATAATGTCAATGATGGTATTCATAGCATTCATAGATAAGGGAGTTGGAGCTCACTGAGTGACCAGCACAATGCCAAGCGCTTTGCTGGCCTTATCTTATCCTGGAAACAAATGATTGGGTGGTACTATTGTGATCCCATTTTGCAGAGGAAGAAACCACAGTTTAAAATTTAATTAAATTGCCTAAGTTCACAGCCGGTAAAAGGAGGACCTGGGATTAGAATATGGACCCCAGAACCAGCCTCTTGGCTCTGACGAAAAGCCACCCAGTGATATTTTCTTCCATCCTGTTTATGCTTATGCTCCACAGTGGAAATTTTTCCAATAAGGGAACTCACGTATTCACTCAGTTTCTCCTTTACTGACACTTCATTTGTTTTCAACCACTTTGCAAAACCCCACAGTTTAATATTCAAAGCCAGACCTCTGAATATTAAAATTTGCAACTTGAAGACACTTCAGGACTTTTCAAGTAACTAACCACAGATTCAGCAAAGCGTGGAGCTGAGCGCAGCCATTCTGCACAGACAGGGTGCTCCAGTCTCACCAGGAGCTCAGGGTCCCCCTGTATTGTCACTTCCTTTGGGAGCCACCTAAATCTTGTTCAGATAAACCCCTTTTACAAAGAAATTGCAAATACTCTATCTAAACGGTGTCTAAGTTATCAAAAATTCTAAATGATTGCAGGCCAAATGAATGAAATTCCGTCATTAAAAATATGCAAATAAATGCATTTACTCCCTCTTGACACCTTTTAGGAAAAATTTTGCCATATAGTTAATTGGAAGTAACTGTCCTTTTATTTCTTACCAAAATTATTATTTTAGAGAGTTGGTCAATGAACCTAGTGTATTTTATTTAGTGCAGCTCCCTGCATTTTTTGGCTCTTGATTCTGATATTCCTGGTTCCCTGCCAGGCAGGATTTTATCAGTCTCAGGATTAATATGTGTCTCCGGAGAAGAGATCAGGGGTAAGGGATGCACCAGAAGTGAGCCAGAGAAAGCATCAGGAGTGACTGCAAAAGATGGTGACAGAAGGGACTGTTTGGTTCCCACTTGATGAGATGTGCATTGCTTTTGATCATTAAATTCTGCCAATGGACTTAACAGGACTTTCAGAAGGAACCTGCATGCGACAGCTTCATGTCTTTGTTCCCTCCAGCTTTCTCCTCTAAGCAGCGAATGGGGCTTGACACGTTTTGCAGGATAAACTTGCTGAATACAGACAGAGCAGCCCCAAGCCCTGCAGAGCTTCCTGTCCTCAGCGCCTTACTACCTCAGTGCTCACTGATCCAGGTTCACTTAGGGCTCACGAGGCTGGAGTCACCTCATCGTCCAAGCAGCAACAGTTCCACTTTCTGAAATAATCCCCAGCATTTGAAATGAAGGTAGATATGTTTATGAAACAGTATCTAAGGTGTCTTCAAACGAACTCTAGGTGCCATGGGTGGGGGAAGAAGGAGGCCAAGAGGGCAGGGCTCTGGGTTAACCACCTTCACTCTAGGAGACAGCTCTGCTTTGCTGGGCTTGGGGGTGGTGGTGGAAGATTTCAGCTGTTACAGAGAGGTTGAAGGGCACGGATGCCATCCCAGTCCCCATTCAAGGCATAAGTCCTCTCTGCAATATCTCTATGTCGTAATCTTCTACCTTTTTCTTGAATACTCCCTGTGACATGCTGGTCAGTAGTTATAAAGCCAGCTCCATCAGCGATACCCTGCAGCTTGTTAGACATGCATGCTCTCAGGCCCCACCACGATGGACCAAATCAGAGTGTGTATTTCAACAAGACCACCTTGTGATTCGTGGGCAAGTTCAGGTTTGTAGCAGGGAGCTCTCAATCTTGGCTGTACAGCATTGAAAAGTTCCAGTGTGTGGATCCCACTATAGAGCTTCTTATTTAAAACTAGTCTGCAGCACAGCCTGGGCATCCGAGTTTCAGAAGCTCCCCTAGGGGATTCTCCTGTGCAGGCAGGGCTGAGTCACTGTCATTGAGCCTCCTGCTGTTGGCTGTGACTGACACTTTGCTCCTTAAACTGAGTGAATACCTGTGGCCCTGTAGCTTTCACTACTTCATCTTAGGTCACAAACAACAAGCCAAATCCACCTCCTGGTCCTATAGACTCAAGGGAGCATGCCCTTCCCCAGAGCCCTCTTTGCATCTCGGGTGTCTTGGCCAGCCCTCATTTGACATGCGCTGAGCAGCTTCATCCTCCTGCCCTTCCTCCAGCAACCCTCAAGCCACCTCTTCTTCAAGCATGATGCTAGATACCTGCTTGACGTTTTACTTCCTGCAAAAAATTGTCTTCTTTGCAGATAAACTGGGTTTCCTTGTAGTTAAGGAAAGCAAAACCCATATATTTCTTGGTTCGGTTTTAATTCCAGACTTTAGAGCCAAATCCCCAAACCCTGGCAGTCCTGTAGGAGGGGACACAGAGGAGAGTCCCCACCTTTGGTCTTTTGCCAGGAGTTTTGTCTGTGGTCGCGACAAAGAAGTGATTGACAGTAGGTACCTCTTCAAAGGGAGTGGAGACATTGAGGAGGGGTGTCAGGGGCCTTTATAAGTATATATAAAATAAACATGAACATAAAAATTTAAAAATTACCCTGACCACAACAGGTGTTTTTTTTATTAAGTAACTAGAGAGTAATGAGAATGCAGAAGTGAGACTCTCAATCAAGTTGACCAGGGAAGCTTCCTGGAGGAGGTGCTGCTAGGCCAGGCCCTGATACATAAGCAGGAGGTGGGTGCCACAGGTGAGAAAAACAGCAGGTGCAAAGGCATGAGGGGGGACTCGGCATGATGAGGGTGCTGTGGTGTGGCTGGGACCGAATGGAACATGGCTGTGTGAGGAACCATCAGGAGTCTTGGCCAGAAAGGTGGACAGAAGCGAAATCCTGAAGGGCATTTTATGACAGGCTGGAGAGTGTAATTTATTCTGAAGTCGGTGGGAAACCATGAAGTAGTTTTAAACAGAGGAGTGACCTGATCAGATACTTGTGCTCTGGCTACTGTGGGGCATGGCTGGAGGCGGGCAAGGCTAGAGGCTCGAGCCTTCAGGGCGCTGTGCGGGGATCCAGGCAGGAAGTGACAATGATGCGAGCTAGGGCTATGGCAGAAAGGATGGATGGGGGGGGAGGACCTCAAGGGGTGCTGTAGCTGGGAGGAAATGCTGGCCACTGAAGGGGCAATTTACCTGGATTTCTGGCCTCTGCAAATGGCAGAGAGTGAGGCCGACTGTCCCTGGTATGGGGACCGGGGAGGAGAGGCAGGCCTGTTGCTCTTCTGGCCATGCTGACCTTGAGGGCTGGCAGTTGGTTGTCTGGATCTGGCTGGAGCTGGGACAAAGGCACTGGGCTGGAGACTAGATTCAGAGCCCTTAGGTGTCCCCAAACCATGAGAGGACAAGGAGATGTAGGACGGTTCTGAGAGAGGGTAGTGAGGGGGAAGCCCGACTCCTGGGGGTGGGGGCCGGGCAAGCCCACAGGGGGAGGGAAGAAGGGTGACCATGGCCCGGGGCAGAAGGGAGGGAACAGCCCAGGCACGGAGCCTGCCCGAGGGGAGGGAGAGCTGCAACTTGTTCCATGGTTTTGGAAATCAGAGGTCAGGAGCAGGTTGCCTTCTAACGGGGGTGAGAGGCTAGCGCAGCTGGGCTGGCACGTGGGCAGGGGGTGCCTTAAAACGCTGGGCTGTGAAAGGGAGGCGCAGGGCAGCCGCTAAAGGAGGACACCGTGTGACTGTGCGGAAAGGTGGGAACGAAGCTCTCTGAGCCCTCTCCCGTTGGTCACTACACCCAGGGAGCACATGGCCTTCACTCTGTTCTTCAGAGAAGGGTCAGGATGACACCTCTGTCAGCTGCGTCCAGCCATAAACTCTGGGCAGTCGGCCTCCAGTCGGCCTCCCTCAGGACAGGTGACCAGCAAGACAGACAGCTCAAGAGCAGGACTTGATTCAAGGAAAAACTGGGTTCATAAAATGCCCCC